GCTATCACCGTGGGTTGTATCAGCTTAACTGTATTCCCAAAAGCTATCACCGTGGGTTATATTGCTAATAGACCCCTCAAAAGGCCTATTTTACTGGCTGGGACATTTTTACTGTATTCCCAAAGGCTATCAGAGAGGCTTTTATTGCTACTAGAACCCTCTAAAATGCCTATCACCGTGGGTTGTATCAGCTTTTCTGTATTCCTCAAGACTTCACCGTGGGTTTTATTGCTACTAGAACCCTCTAAAAGACCAATCACCTAGGGTTGTGACAGTTTTACTGTATTCCCCTTGGCTATCACCGTAGGTTGTATTGCTACAAGACCCCTCTAAAAGGCCTATCACTGTGGGTTGTTACAGTTTCACGGTAATAGGACCTTTACAGGGTTCTGGTAGCAACAAAACTCACGGTGATAGCCTTGGGGAATACAGTAAAACTGTCACAAACCACGGTGATAGGGCTTTTGAAGGGTTATAGCAGCAATAAATCCACGGTGATAGTCTTTGAGAATTCGTTAAATCAGTCACAACCGTCGGTGATCGGTCTTTTAGAGTGTTCTAATAGCAATAAAACCCAAGGTGATAGACAGTTTTACTGTATTCCCAAAGGCTATCACCGTGGGTGTTATTGCTACAAGAACTCACTAAAAAGCCTATCACCATGGGTTTATGACAGTTTTACTGTATTCCTCACGGCTTTCACCGTGGGTTTTATAGCTACTAGAACCCTCTAAAAAGCCTTTCATTTAGGGTTGTGACAGTTTTACTGTATCCCCGTGGGTTTTATTGTTACGAAAACCCTCTGAAAGGCCTTTTAAGTAGTTTTTAATGGTAAACCAAGTCAGGTCTAGCCTCAGCGAATACAGTGAAGCTGACCGACCCAACGATAATAGGCATTTTTCGTAGTTTTTGTCCGGAAACTAAGCCATGTTCTAGCCTCAGGGAAAAAAAGTCTGTCTTTCTAAACCAACGGTGATAGGCATTTCTTATAGTTCTAAACGAAAAACCAAATCCGGTTCTAAACTCAAGGAATACAGTCAAGCTTACAAAATTCACGGGGATAGGTCTTTCTAATAGTTATGATCGGAAAACAAACCCCGGCTCTGTCCTCTGAGAATACAGTCAAGCTAACCAAACCCACGGTGTATGACCCTTTTAGTATTTCTAACGGAAATCCTACTCCGCTTCTAGCCTTCGGGAATATAGTCAATCTTAACAAAAGTCTGGTGATTTGCCTTTTTAGAAGTTCTAAGCGGAAAACCAGTCAAGCTTTCGAAACCGGCGGTGATAAGCTTTTTTAGTAGTTCTAATCGGAAACCAAGTCCAGTTCTAGGCTAAGAGAATCGAGTCGAACTGACCAAACCCACAGTGATAGGCCTTTTAAGTAGTTCTTTACAGAAATCCCAGGCCTGATCTAGCCTCAGGGAATACAGTCAATCTCACCAAACCCACAATAATAGACCTTTTAAGTAGGTCTGAACGTGAAAACAAGTCCAATTCTAGCCTCAGGGAATACAGTCAAGCTGACCAAACCCACGGTGATAGGCTTTTCGATCAGTTCTAAACGGAAAACCGAGTCCGGCTCTAGCCTTTTGGAATCAGTCAAGCTGAACAAACCCACGGATGTAGGCTTTTTGGGAAGTTCTAAACGGAAAACCAAGTCCGGTTCAGTTCTAGCCTAAGGGAATATAGTCAAGCTGACCAAACCCAGTGTTATTGGCATTAAAGTAGTTCTAAACGGAAAGTCATGTCATTTTGTAGCCTCAGGGAATACAGTCAATCTGACCAAATCCCACGGCGAAAGACCTTTCTTATAGTTCTATACTGAAAACCAAGTTCGGTTCTAGCCTCGGAGGATATAGTTGAAACACCAAAGATACGGTTGCGGGTTTTGAAATTCCATTAGTTTGGACTTCTTCTGTACAGTTTTTCTTATTTTGAGCGTCATTTAAGCATATATCAGCAACGTTTTTTCACAATTATTGTTCCCAAAAGATGAGACAGATCCATGTCTACTACATTCTTCAATTTCATCTTCTTGACCCTTTCCTTCAAACTTCGGATAGGAATCCCGAACACAATGGTAAGAATGTACAGAATGGATACGTTATTTCGGTCTAACCTACTCTATGGAACTTAACATGTAAACAAACAGTATTTAATGCTGGGAGTTGTTGACTTACTTTATTCAAATATATCGAGTAACAGTCCACCTCAATTAAGTAAATTTATAGAAATTAAGTAAACAGTTCATTACTTATATGCTTATTATTATGGTTGTAAAGACTGAAAGTACAAATTGTCTTTTGGATCAAGGTGTTTTTAATTGATATGATATTTTTAACGGAAAATATTTGGATGACAAATGTATATATTCGTTATACATTATCAAAGATGTCACCTGTTCTGTTTCTGTTGGTATCTAAACACGTTGTAAAATACTCTCAATCCGCAGTTATAATGAATAATAGGTGTTCTGATTGTGAATTCATATAAGGAAGTTTTCCTTATAAAATTATACAATATACAATATGCTTAACATTGACAGTTAAGAAGGTTTAAACCTACAGGGTACAGGCGATTGTCTTATCAATTAAAATTGCAACGAACACTTAATTATACTCCCACCACATACTGTGGAGGAAGCTACATGTATACAGGTCGCACTTAGTCACTGGTCATATTCATTAAAATTACGTTTTCTTGCAGTTGGAACAATGTACGTTATTTTGTTTAATGGATTACACTGATGGAAAACTAACATGTATTAGAAAGAGCATCGAAACACGAGGCTATCTGATTTGTACGAGGGGGCGTAGCCGAGTGTTTCGATGTTCTTTCTCTTTTGTATCATAGTCAAATATAAAAACACGTTCCCTGTTGTCACAATATGTAACCCCAGAAAAAGTAACCAATGAACGAGCATCTGAATATGATATTTCTATCGCTTTCCCTTCCTCTGACGTCACAATAAGTAAACCCCAGCAAAATAAGCCAATCAATGGGCATGCTCTGGAATGCTGGTAACTAATACCTGCACTTCAGTTAACGCATGTATACGATTTAACTCTGACACATTTTCAACAGAAAGGTCCCCAAACTATGATACAATGTCACAAATAACCTCACTGTTCTTTAAATCTCCATGATAAACCAAACCTGTAGCATTTGTTATGAAATTAAGTAGGTCGTAGGTCTTAAACCGATACATATACCAAAGTTTAAATAGAATAAGCTTGCAACAAAGAGAAAGACAAATATACAGTTTTAGAACTTAAAGAGACATACATGTAGTTCATTTGTAGAATTATCTTAATAACTTGGGTTTTGCAAGCTCTCTATTTTGTGGAAATATGTCCGTAATATTTAGATATTTGACAGACTGGAACCACATTTTATTGTGCAACCGTAAGCTTATCTATGTTACATGCACAAGAGAATGATTTAAAGTCAGTGAAGGACATTCTTCTAATTTTAGATTTTTATCAGTACATTAGTTCGTTCATCACGATCATTACAGTAAAGGTAATTGAAACGTTCCTTTCCAAAGTGAATGACAGAGAAACAACTTTTTTTCTCAAAGGAACACTTAAACTGGTATTTATAAAATCAAATGTATAAAAATGCTTTTACTAACTTTTCGCAAAAACTGTACATTACACTAGGTATCATTTGAAATATTGTGTAAGACATTTTTAGGTTGGAGCCTTACTTGAATTATATGTATTTGTTTAATTTGTTATTGGTTTAATACAAAGTTTGTGTTTTAGGTTATGCAAAGTTAAGCTTCGAGAAGTTAGCTCGAAAATCTGAAATCTAACATCAAAGTTCAATTTCTAAGTAGGTTAGAACTTGACTCTTAGGTCGTTTTTTTCCAATTAATTGTTACTAGTTTTGAGCTTGTTTTTAATTCTAAGTGAGCTCTGAGATCAATATTTGTTTTGTTAAAGTATAAAGACATCGTTAAAGCATTGAACTCAGAGCTAGCTGAGATTACTATTCATCTTAATATTATGAAAACAATGGATTGATAGTTGGCTATGATATATTATTCAATTTCTTTTTACTAAGTTCAGATGGTGCTAGCATGGAATCCAAAGCAAGCTCTACGATTGTCATCCGAAATTCCATAAACGAGCAAATATGGAACTGGCACTAAACTCAGAACTAGCTCTCGTTGACATTTAGTTGCTTTTAAAAGGGAAATATTGCCCATGCTATGAATCCAGACTTAGCTCCAAGATTTAATTTTCAACTTCATTTAAAATATCTGACTGGCATTGCAATCAGAACTGGCCATGCAACATATTTTGAATATTAATCTCAGAGTTCTGTATCTAACTGAAGCACGATGTTCGCTTTTATAAAGAAAGTATAAATTTTAGAGCCAGCCCTGAGTCCCTTGCCAGCTGGATATCCGTTCATTTATTGGATGTTGATTTTAGATATTGCTGTGATTCCGATGCTTTCAAAGCATTGACCCTATTTCAAAAATGAATTTTCGAAGTCAGACTTGCTCTTTTGTTGAGGCCAGCTTGTCATTCATTGGCTGGATATCGAACTCAAAACTTATTGTGGCACGATATTCACCCTTTTTGAATAATGAATATCGATCAAAGCTTGAGTAAAGAGTCCATTGTCATCTAGCTAGAAATTGAATTTCGATCTACAATTTCAAATCTTAGTGCTCACTTCTCGGAAATATAAAAATGGTATTTTACTCCCGACGAACCTCTTGAATTTAATCATATATACAGAGTACTATTTAACGTGCCTTGTTTGCGCAATTTTCCACAACAACAAACCTTGGTTAGAGATTTGTATTTGACCAGTTGTAGATAATAAATTAGATAGATTGAAAATATATGATTTATAACTTTTGTGTAATGAAGTTAACAATCGATAACATTACAAAATACAACAATTTGTGCAACAAACGACATATTTATCATATTCGAGCTTAAGCTTTTCTAATGATTACTTTTTATTTTCTTTGACAGAAAACTACCAGAAATATCTGAAAATGGCAAATAGACCAGAATTCTTCACTTTGATGGTATGTTATAATTATATATTGTAAACTTTTATCATTTTTTAGCTTTCTGTAATAATATTGCATGTTAAAATATCAGTACGTCTGTCTGTCCGTCCGTCTGTCCTCACGTCGCACACATAACGCTCTTATTGTAAAAGAGTGCAATGCATAAAATTATCAGTGCATTACTTTGAAGTAAATTGTACGAAAGACCGGTGGGGACATTTCAACTTCTTGATTTTCCGATAACATCTTCATGATTTCCCGATTTCAACTTCACGAATTCACGATTTCAACTTCGCGAATTCACGATTTCAACTTACGTTTTTATAATTCTGAGTAAATTGAACATACTAGTATTTATTGGTTGTTTTGTATGGCAAATTATTCTCAGTCTGCAAATAAATTTCCACTTCGGCTGATAAAATGCATACTAATGTTGAACTTATTGTACATTTCAGGTATTTTCAATTTCCATTTTATTGAAAACAGAATCTTTTGTCCTTGATACTGCAACAATCAAATGCCTTCCCAGAAGTCCCTCTTGTTCATGTGGAACATTCCAGACCTTTGAAAATAACAAAGAAATCCAGGCTAGTAATATTTACTGCGACGAGACTTCTGATGTATTTCCTGACTTCTCTGTGATATCTAAACCTGTGATAAATGGTTCCAGTTGGTATATAGGGCTCACGAAAAACAATTTTACACATATACCAGGAGGCTTATTTACCGGTCTCACACCTGTCAATCTCAATGAAACGTATCTTTATCTTGATTTGAACGAAAATCATATTTCAAAAATCGAAAACAATGCGTTTGTTGGGATGGAAAACATATATGTTGAAATGGATTTATCAGACAATAATTTATCATCAATGCCTTTAGCTTTTCTGGTTCTAAAACAACTTCGTGGAATTTCCCTACAATTTAATCCCATCAAAGTCATCGATCATATTGTTCTACAACACCTAGCCCCTACACTTACCTATTATGAAATGGGCATTGGTAACCTGTCGACATGGCCCGCAGATATCTCTTCTTTTACTCAAGTGTTTGCTGTGACATTGTTTGATGTACAGCAGTACAAATTTCCACAACGACCTTTCTACGGATCTGAAAACATGATAAAAGGAATGCATATTCATGGGTCTGACCTGGATACACTGCCGTGTGGCTTTACTGACCTTTCTGTATTGGATGTCTTAACCATACATCAATCGCCAAACCTGAATGCTACTGACCTTGTTGAAGTATGCCGAAAGAATTACACGTTGTCGTCCACCCTTCACGAAATACATCTTGTTGAAGGGGCACTTAATGAGTTTCCGGACATTCTTAAATATACACCGATGCTAAAAAGGCTTAACTTATATAGCAATAAGATTCGGTATGTGAACGAGGATTTTATTCCAATGAACAATGTATTAACAGATTTGATGCTTTCGTATAACAATCTTCAAACTATCCCAAACAGTTTTCTTCGATTTAGACATCTTCGCCACCTGATTCTAGACAACAATAACATTGCTACTGTTTTACCTGAATTGGAGCGTATTTTTCAAAATCCTTATTCTAGACTCTGTTTAAGAGACAATCCTATCAATGCAACAGCCCTTACAGTGAAATGTTCGTTATCACGAGATTCCTGGGCACGTAACTGATTGACCACGTTGATTTTGACTTACATTTTCCAATGCATTCCTTATCGACAATCCGCTTGAAAATAAAGATTTTTTAAAACGTGCATTTATCTTTAATTAATTTTTTAAACTTATATCTTTATATTTTTTTAAAACTTATTATTTTAGAGTTTCCTGAAATTGGCCATTCTTTTATTGTTTTTGAAATATATTTGATTCATACTTAGGCAAAACAGCAAATAGGATAAATTCGTCATGTGTATCTTGAGAGTATGACATTGACCTTCAAGGTCAAATGATTGAAATGTGATATTATCGGCTAGAAATTTGTTACAAATAATAAATTTTATTGATAAGACAACAAATAAGACAAGACCTTCATATGCAGAAATTTAAAGTTTGTTTTTAAGATTTTAAGGACATTGAGTGTCAAAGTCATATATATAGTTTATTAAGTTCTATAGAATTGTTTTTTATTGAAGGATTTGTCCTTTTTTATTTGGACATAACAACATGTTTAACAGATCTGTCATATATTACCTGAGTAAATATTACAATGACCCCTGAATGACCTTGTCTTTCTATGTCTGTCTTATTTTCCAAACACGATTCATACATTTTTGAATATCAGGATTTTGTTTTGTCAACTGATGGCAAAAGGTATACAATTTCGGTTCCAGTAGGTTAAATATTAAAATTTATTGAGCAACCACTAACTTTTACCTGTTTTAATCCTATATTGTTGTTTTAAATCAATGCATTTTGAAAGACTGCGCCCCAGTTATTTTCAGTATTTTGTATTTGTGTTATTTTATAATAATTGTTCAACTGATATTACCTGTCTGTAAGATACAAATTAGATGCATATAATAGTTAAGAATATGAGCTTTGGTTCGTTTTCTTTTTGGTTGGTGGCTGCTCTTGTTTGAATGCCAGTCCTTTTTTTTTATAGAATTTGATGAAAAAAATGTCATTCTTTTGAGGGCATGATGTCGATAACAAAGTATGTCTGGAATTTATTATCGTCATTGTACAAGAATTTGGAAGGTATTCAGAGGTTGATATGAAAGTTGAACTCATGATGGGTGAATATTGTAATCATATGATTGATGGATTAAAGACAGTTAAAGAATACAGTAAAATGAAAACCAAAAACATTAAAATGTTTAATAAATTGGAAGGGCTGTTTGCTTGCCATCCATCTTGACAAGTAGATTACCCGTATCTCTTAAGTTTTGTTAAATAAATATGTTTTCTGAACGAGTTAATTACGGGGGTATAGCAGTGGCTGGGGCGACATCGAGGAATGTTTTTGCTGAAAAATGTCGAGACCGTCAGGCCGAGATGATTTTTAAAGAAACATCCCATATATTATAACTGTTTTATCGCAATTTCATTATTTATTTGTAATAGAAATCAGTAAAAATACTATATGCATTTCCCTCTCTTGTACCTCTTTCACTTTTGTGAACCGTAACTCTGCCTTGCCTAATTTTGGAGTTATTGACCTTCATTCATTTTTACACTGCGATCTTTGTCTAGTACATAATTCTTAAACTATAAGCGGTATTAACAAGAAACTTTTTTAGCTAGATATATCTCATTGCGTAAATGTGCAATGTAAAAGAACCGTAACTTTGCCTTGTCAAAATTTAGAGTTATTGCCCTTTTTCATTTTTACACTTTGAACTTTGTCAGGGACATAACTCTGAAACAATAAGAAGTATCGACAAGACACTTTTTAGGTAGATTGATCTCATTGAGAAGTTGTGCTTTACAAAAGAAACTCTTCCTTGCCTAATTTTGGAGTTATTTCCCTTTGTTTTATACTGTGAACTTTGTCCGGGTACAGACCACCCTGTCTCATGGTCTGCAAGTTCCTACATGTATGGCCAGTTGGGACTGTTTAATGCCACCGATCAGAATTCCATATAGTTTTTTGACAATCCATAAATATTTTTACAATCCAATAAAGGAAAATGTCTGTCATATTATCCATGTGGCATTTTAATAATCTGAATTAAAACCCTTTCATGCAAAAATAAACTCACAGGTGAGGAGTTAATTAAGGGTTTCTCCCCCTCATACAAAAAAGGTCAAATTAAGAAGTTGTACTGTTACAATGTTATAAAGTCATATATATCGACAATAATTAAATATTTAACAATATTGACTGAAAACATTATAAATCATTAATATATGCAGCAATATATTTTTAATATCACAACTAGGGTGAGACAAAAATGCAGCCTGACTAAAACTCAAACCAGAGACCCTTAAAATACATGTACCATACCTCAGCACTACCAAAAAACCAAGAACCCTTTGAATACCATACCGCAGGTCTACAGCTCATCTATGCATTGATATAACCCACACTATATTGAAATTTGCCCTTTATATTGGAACACTTAAGTTCCAAAGTGAGATATAAGGTTTCTTAATTATATATCTTCTACCCTTATTATTAAACAATTTATACGGTGACGTACCTACCATATTGAATTCTTTCAACAATTCATTTCATGATTATCAGAGAATACTTCTCATAAGCTAGATATCACATTTTGCACAGGGTAAGAAAAATGTGCCATTTGACCGGAATCAAACCTGGGATCCTCAGAGTATCATACATGTGGACAGGCTGTACTGTCTGAGCTATCTAGCTGGCATGTCATTAATCGATTACTTATCACATGCATGGGCATAGAAATCAAAGAAACATTCATTGATAATGATCCATTATTAAAAGTAAATCATATCAGAAGAATACCTTGAAAATGATATCATTTAATCATTTGATAAATTTTGATCCATAATTATCACCATTACATTCTAAGTGGCCTTATCAAACTGAGCCTGCAGCATTTTATAAAAACAAACAAAACCTTTAATTGAGATCTTTTAACATTCAAGATTCAAAATAATTTTTGGTAACGTAAACATGATGCTCCTTGCTACACAACACATATACAATGATACAATAAAGCGTGTCAACATGACACAATTTTATAACAGAAAATATGATACATATTGCCAAACAAGAAAGAAAATGGAAGCTAGAAAACAAGGGGGTTGAACTAATTGAGAAATTGTATATTTTATTAAATCACTGCCAAAATAAGTCAAATGTTTGTAATTTTGCTGTTCATGGCAATTTCTTTTGGGGTTCAGTTTGTTTCTTCATTTTAAGGGATGTAACTCATGTTTACTAAATTGCTTGTTCTTATATGTCTATCTTAGTCATTACAGACTATTCTAGTTGTATACAAGAAAAGCATTGTTGCAAAGCATCAAAGGGCGACGCCAAAAGAATTTGATCCAGATTTGCACCTAAATACTTAACAAAAGATGTGTACTTTATAGCAGTACCATTACATGTGACCTGGAGGCTAGGGCCAGTTTAAGTTGAAACTTAAACCAAAAAAGAATAGACTCTGTCTTGCCAAGATGCCAAGACAATTTATGGTCAATAAAGCAATCTTATAAGACTCATGCTATAAGAAAGAATTTCTTCAGATACAAGGATTCCTGAGTCATCAGCATATAATCACAGGCACGAGTATCGGACCTGGGAAAAAAAATGACCAGATGACCAGATTGATAAAAAAACTGTGTTTATAAAAACCAGAAAAAAAATGTAAATAATGATCCCCTTTAAAAATATACTATCAACTTGAAGTATATTTTTAAAGGGGGTCATTATTTACATTTTATTTTGGTTGTTGACACTTTTAAGATGAACACAGGTTTTTTTATCAATCTGGCCATATTTTTTCTTCCCAGGTCTGATACTCGTGCCTGTGCATTATAATAAAAGCTTATTGCTTAGGGTTGAAGACATGTCATTGACATATATTAGACAAAAAAGAGGACCTTAAATGAACATCAGGGGGACACCATAGGTACTCAGAGCAGTAGTAGAATGAGTACCAGCCACATCCACCAGCTGCGGTCTATCAGAGATAAGACTTAAACCATGTAAGAATGTCATTATATATGGCAGATGCTCGAAGTTTCATGAAGAAGAAGAAGAAAAACAACTTCTTCATGTGCAGTATAGTGTGTTCAACTGTATCAAATGCCTTTTGTAGATCTAAAAGTATCATGCAATACTGCCTTTGTCCATTTCAAATAATGCAATCTGTTAAATGAATCAAACATGTGTCAATTGAAAAACCACTTCTAAACCCTGACTGAAACTGCCTGACCATGACTTGAACCCATGACTTTCAGAAGACCAACTGAGCTATCCGGCCGGCTACACATTTTCTCTTTAATAATGAAACAGTTCTAAACCACAACATATTTCCCCACTATATCGATTTGTGTCCGTGAATTTCTTATGTTACAGAGCATAGGAAATTGAACTCATGCTTATATGCAGTCACAGATTGAGAAAAACTTTGAGCTTGACCAGAACTCAAACCTGTGACCAACATAAGAAATTTTATGAAGGCTGATATGTATTTTGCATCAAGGGCACCGGGCAAAAAACATGAAAATGCAACAAACAAACCACTTTGTGGTAGATTGTATTTTCATGTTTTCATCTGGCGCCCGGTTACTTTTTGTACTATGTTGGTTTTCATGTGGCACAAATTACCCACTATAAATTTAGTGCACAAATTTATTCAAGGGCAAGTAACAATCTACTCTATGTACAGTCTGTTGTCGGGTTGACTCAGGAGACCTGGAGGTTGAGACCGGTGTCACTTCATTACAAATAGATAAGACAGAAGCTGTCCTTTTCAAACTATGCACATGTTAGACAAAAAATAGAATAACTATTCAGAATATGATTTTTTGAGACTTTATTAATTATATTGCTTGATCCAAGTTTAAGGACATTTTCAATCAATACATGTTTTTATCATTTATAACTTTAAATGAAAGTCTCATCCCTTTAATAATAATGACATAACTGTATCTCTTTAAATGCAGAAAAATTATAAGTCTCAACATATCAATATACTACAGTCTAAGATATACATGTATGCACATAACATTAATAATTCCCA